AGCAGTTAGAAAGCCTGGCTCTCACTCTGCTGTTCTGCAAACACCCACACCCCACATGCCTCGGTGTCTCCTGTGCAGAAGGCGACATTCGCTGCTTGGCCCACCTTAGCAAGAGCAGTGCGGGCGCTTCCACCTGCCCCGCAGAGCTCCTGCAGGAGGGGGTGGTGGGAGGGAGGGGGGGCTGGTACCTGGGTGGCCTCTCGGAGCCGGTAGCATACATCCTCTGCAAGCAGGGCCGCCACCTCATCGCTCAGCTCCAGGCCTGTGCTCTCCGCCATGAGCCGGACGGACTCCCGTGGGATCTCCACAAACCGCCGCTCCTCTCGCTCAGACATGGCCCCGATGGAGCTGGGAGCGGAGGGGCAGTTTGAACAGCCGCGCCATAGCCCAGGGAGCCCAGGAGCAGGACTGCGGGCCCTGTCCAGCAGACTTGCTGGGCACCAGTGACCTCCAGGTCCCTAAACCCAACGGCAGCCTGCCTGGCCTCCACAGCATTTCTCCCAATGGCTCCCCACTGCCTTTGAAATAAAATCCAAGCCTGTACTTGGCTCACTGGCTGGGGGTGTGCACCTCCATCTGAGACATCTCTGCCACTCTCTACCCCACTCTCTAAGGTGGTCTGCATTCCTGCTCCAGGCCTCCTTTCATTTCCTCAGAGCACCTTATTTCAAGCTGTCCACATACTCAGTTTCCTCTGCTTGGAATCCTCTTTCCCTCCACCCCCAATGCCTTTGTCTAACAAACTGCTTGCATCTTAAGACCTTAGTTCAATGTCACTTGCTCAAGGAGGTCTTCTCCGACCCCACGATGTCCAGGGCCTTGGCCTTCAAAGCAGTGGTCAGTTTGTGCAAAGGCACTGGTGTCACATTTTGATAACACCTCCCTCCCCATTCCATGCCAGCATGGAGCAGGCCTTTTTGCTCACCTTTGCATCCCCAGCGTCCAGCAGAGTGTCAGCACATACTATGCCTCAATAAACACTTACTGAAAAACAAGACAAGGAATAGAGAGGAGGTATTTTTTGAGCAATACTGCACCCGAGGCACTGAGCTCAGCACTTTATGTGGATTACCTCATTTTATCATTTTATCCTTCTTAACAATGAGAAAGGTATTCTGTAGTATGTCTATTTCACAGCCAAGGACATTAAAGCTCAGAGAGATTAAAAGCCTTGCCCAAGATCATTCAGGGAGCACTAAGTGGGGAGCGGGACCCAACCCCTGTCCCTAATACCAGGAGCTACCAGCTGTACGACAACAAGGCCTGAATTCGCAGACTGGAAGGGTAGGCGTTGGAGACCCGCCAAAAGGTCGCTACGACGCCTCAGTTTCCCCATCTGTAAAATGGGAGCAAGAAGCCGGCCCGCGCGGCGCGAGTTTCCCTATTATGTGCCCGCACCAAGACCCACGAAGTCCGGGCTCTGACCCAGGTCTCCCGCTCCTCAGGCTCCTCTCGGCCGCGCGATCGCCCACTAACCACGCAGGTTAGGGGGCGTGGGCACTGACCTCCACCCGCGGGGAGAGGCGCATCCTCCCCGCAGCGGCGCAAGTCCCAGATCCGCAGGCGGCGGGGTGGGTGGAGGAGGTCAGGGGTTACCGAACTTGGGTCACGTGCTCAGCGGAGGGGCGGGCCCCCAGCAGAGCTGGCCCTAAGGCCGGGAAGAGTGCGGCCAGCGGCGGCACGGGGGCCCCCGGACCTGCGAGGGCCTACTCACCGGAGCGCTGCGGGCGGCGAGGGCGGCCACCGACACCGCAGCGGCCGCAGCTCCCACTCTCCTGCTCACACTAATTCCCTCTCCGCGCCCAGGCCCCGCCCTGCACGCCCGCAGCCAATCGGAGGGCGCCTAGAGAAAGTCCCGCCCCCTGGAGGTTTTCCGCCGTGCGATTGGCCACTGTGGAGCCGCTGTGAAAGACCCGGGGCGGCCGCGTCACGTGACGCTGCAGAGTCGCGCTCCTTAAAGCAACAGTTCTTGGAGCCTGGCGAGTGGGCGCGCCTGGCGGGCGGGCGTTTGGCAAGCGGCTCGGGCGCGCTCGTCAGCTCGTGTCTGCGCCTCAAGGTCCCAACGCTCGCGTTTTCGCGACTGCAGCGAAGCTTTAGACGTTGGTGCCTGACTTGGCTTTCCTGCCTCCTCGTTGGGACCCACCTCACCTCAGCACCCCTGCGCTCCCCCCCAAGGACGGTGGGCTCCAGGTAGGCGTGCTCGGCCGGAGGCCGGGCCCTCCGACGGCACCGAGACTCGGGGCGCTGCTCCTGCGGCCCCCTACCCGGTGCCCCCTGCTCCTGCCCGGGAAGCAAATGTAGGACCCCGCCTGCCTCGCCGAGTCCCTTGACCCTCTCACGCGCGCACACTCGCCCGAACTTGGGCGTTTCTCAGATTGGGCTTCGTGAGGAGAGGAGGATGTTTGGAGTAAGACCGACCTGGCTGAAATTCTGACGCTACAAATTATTTCCCCCTCTACCAATTGGGGAAATAATGCGCACCTCATACATTAAGTGAAATAATGTCGGTGAAAGCACTTGGCAGAGTTGGTGGTTGAACTTCCACTCACACACCACAAGGCAGGCAGTGAATCAGTTCCTCGGGGAACATGGCTTGCAAGGGGCTAGTCATTCTAGAGTGGCGCTTTCTGCAGGGGAATATGAATGTGCACATCCTCGCCCTTCCTCTCTCTTGGATAGCGCTGCCTCTAGGAAAAAAAATCCTCTGGGACCAGAACTGGAAAGCCTATTAGATGCGGCTGGGGTTGCCATGGTAACAGCACCTAGGGAGAGTGTGACCCTGCTGTCTTCCAGTCATGTTCAGGACACACGGAGTTTGACCATGGGCGCATCTGCCTACCTATGCATGAAGGAAGGGGGTGGGGTTTCCTCTCAAGTGCTGAGTTTGAGATCAGCTCAGCAGGACCTAGGCTGATGGCAGATCTCTTTGCTGAGGTGGTGTTGGTCTGAACAGCTGTTGCCAACCTTGGAGGCATGATGAGCCCATGGGAGGAGGAGGAAGAGCTGGGGTGCCTGTCAGAGGTAGAGCAGCTGATTCAAGCTATCAGGGACTTTTTTAATGTAATTTTTATTTATTTTTTATTTCTGTTTAGAAGAACTGGGGTGTAGGCCAGAGGTGCAGGAGCGAGAGGATTCACCAGAGACAAGGTGGGGAGCAAAACAGGCGGATTGACTGAAATGCACTGCTGAGGGGAGCAGCAGGGAGACAGGAGAGGTCTGCTGCGCAGTGTGGGTTAGCTCCCTGGCTGGGGATCAAAATCATGCCTCAGTGGTGATAGCACTGAGACTTAACCTATCAGGGATGCACTTTCCCCTAAGTGGAGGCAGGGGTCAGGGAAAATAGTATTGAGACCCACATGGCCACAGATGACTCCCATTCACTTTCCAGCCAGCCTGGCAAGAGAGTCTACCTTGGCTTTGCAGTCAGACTCATGGTTGGAGAAATCAAAGCTCCACAACTCACTATCCATGTCACCTGGATTAAGTATGTTAGTTCATCTCTCTGACGGGTTTTATCAACTATAAAATGGGATAACATGGAACTGTTGTGAAAATTCAGTAATGTGTATAAAGGATATAGTGTGTTGCCAGATACATACTTTGGTTAGAATTAGCCTGTGACTTACTGAAGAGGCTGTAACTTTCAGATGCCCCAACAATCAAACCTTGAAAGATCAAGAGTCGTGGAAATCATGCCACCTTTCCCAAGTGCCAGTTTTCTTGAAGTCCCCTCCATTCCCTCCCGACACCCATATGCTCATGTTCCAAGAGATGCTTCTGTTGTTGGGGAAGGCGATCAAAAGAATGTGACCACTAATGGACTCATGAACTGGACCTAGAGTAACAGGGGTTTCCCACACCCCCATGTATGCTATCGCTTTGTCCCTGGAGCAACAGGCTTCCCATCCTCTTCCCCTGGGAAGGTACATTCCCAAAAGCTGCTCCCAGGATACAGCCTTGAATATATAAAGCAACGTCAGGGCCATCTGGGTAACATATGGACTAAATATAGTCAAAGCCTTATCAGACTGAAATTTGGTGGGAGGGGCGTGGAGAACTACTCATCCTGCAGCATCCAAAGCTGTACCTCAGAAGCAAATTCCCTTGTTCATTATACCTGCACCCAGCCAACCTGGAGCAGCCCACCTTGTTCTCTGGTCTCGCCCTGCCCTCGGTGTACCAGGTGTTTGTCAGACCTGGGATGTGCCTTCACATCCGCCCATCAGTCTCTTCCTTCTGGCTTCTGCCCCGCTATGATTACAGATGGAGAATTGCATTTGAGACTGGGGAGGAATTTTACGCCGAGTGGGATACATGGCTTAAGGCCCAGGGAAAATCTCACCCCAATCCCAGCTGTCTGATCAAGGGTGTAGTGTATTGTAGTTGCTCATGTTAACATTGTCCCATTGGAGAATTCACTGGGAACTCAGCACAGAAACATTCCTGGGTTTAACAAACTTGGAAAAGCTGGTACAGCGCTGAGAGCTGGAGATACAGAAATGAAAGGCGTTTGTGTGAGTGTAAAAACATCTCAGCAGGGCCTCCCTGGTGGTGCAAGGGCTTAAGCACTGCACTATGAAGCAATCCGAAGAGTTCAATCCCAGGGCGGCCAGGGAACATCCCACATGGCGCAGCAGAACCTCTCCTGTCTCCCCGGTGCTCCCCTCAGCAGTGTATTTCAGTAGATCTGCCTGTTCTGCTCCCGGCTCTGTCTCTGGTGAATCCTCTTACGCCCCACATCTCTTACCTGCGCCCCAGCTCTTGTGTGCATAAATAAATAAATCTTTAAAATAAATAAATAAAAACATCTCAGCAAAGTAACTGAAACTTGACCAATTAAAAAATGAAGAGGGATTTAAAAAGGGGGGGAAAGTGAAAAGGGAGACAATAACAAAACAGTGTCTCAATGGGAGAGTCTATGTCTTCACCAGCAGCGGGGAGGGGTGGAGAAGGGAGCCCCCATCAGGCGCCTTTCTGACACATCCCAGGACACCCCGTTTGTTTGTTTTAAGATTTATTTTCTTTATACAAGAACTGGGGTACAAGTCAGAGGCGTGGGAGGGTGAGAGGAGTCACCAGAAACAGAGCAGGGAACAGAACAGGCAGACTGACTGAATACACTGCTGCGGGGAGCAGCGGGGAGACAGGAGAGGTCTGCCACGCCATGTGGGTTGCTCTGCGGCAGGCGGAGGGATTGAACCGGCGCTGCAGAGGCTGCGGGCAGCTTCATAGCGCGGCACTCAACCACCTGCGCCACCAGGGTGGCCCCATAACCGGGTTTTTGTCTTTGGCACAAGTGTCCTCTGGGGCCAGATGATTCTTTGTTGTGGGGGGCGCTGTCCTATACATCATAGGGTGTTGAGCAGCACCCCTGGCCTCTGCCCACTAGATGGCAGTCTCAACCCTGCCAAGTTGTGATAACCAACAATGTCATTGCCCAATGTTCCCTGGGGGCCAGAATTACCCTGGCTGATAATCACTGCATTCCATGCGTTGTACCCTCCATGGTCACTGTCACATACCTGTCGCAGGCAGCTCTGTCCCAGCTACTCGCAGAGATGATCTCTGATACAAGCAGCAGCAACCCTCCAAAGACGCCACTCTGGCAATGAGGAGACACAGCTGAGCTAGGACTGAAAGCCAGCTGTGCATCAAGACCTTCATAAAGAGTGGTTCTTACCAAAGAAAGGAGGACATGATGCTTCAACAGAACCAATCAATGCGTTTTATGGTTAGAACAGTCAGAAAACAAGGATAACTGCCATGAGAACTACCAGCTATTTTTTGGGACAAGTCACCTTCCTGACTTCCCCACAGCAGCCAGATGTGGCCTCAGGACAACGTGGAAAGTGTGACAGCTGTGTCTCCTAGATCAGGAACAAACGTGGTGGGAGGACCCAGTGCTCAGCTCACAAGCCCTGCAAGAACAGCGAAAGCACATCAGTTAGATGCAGCACTCAGGGCAGCCATCACCACAGGCCTCCCATCCCAAGGGGACAAGTCCTAGAGCTTACAAACAGACAGGATGAGTTTCTTCCATCTGTGGCTCAGGCCTTACCTCCCACATCCAGCCCCCCTACTCCTCCCTCACACCCCTTCTCCAGGCAGCAACCCTGGCAGGTATGATCAGGCACTCACCCAAGTAATCATCCATCAGGGAGCCGATGGCAAACTTCAGGAGGGAAGGTAAAAAGAAAATGAAGCCAAAGTGAGCTTAGAACTGTCCTCCAGCCCCCAGCCCCAGGACTTCTGCCCACCCATCCTCTTCCTATCAAAAGTGCAAGAGCCCCCCAGGAATTCTGGGTGGTAAATCAACAGCTCCCAATTCTGCCTGACAGGGAAGCAGGCAAGAAACTCACAATGTCATTCTTGTCCACACGGGTCCCCACAATCTTCAAGCGAATCTCGTCATCCTGCTGAATTACTATGTCCTGGAGAGAAGGGGGCGTATACTCAGACACCCAGAGGTTAGCAGCCTCCCTTCAAGGGGCCTATTCCCCCCTCCTCTCACTGGTGTCTTCCTCCCCACTCACCTCATCCATTGTCTTGTAACATGGTGGGTTGGAATTAGGATCAAACTCCATCTCTGATGGGATGGACTGAAAGACAGGTGAGATTGGGCCAGCACTTTAAACATATGCTTGGACAGGTGGTCACACGTGGGCGTCTCTCCTTAGCCACACCCAGCATGCCTCCACTTACATGTCGTGAGATGAAGCAGGACATGGGTCCAATTTCTGTGAAGAGTCCAACCTACAAGGAAAATGAGTAACAATGCCTTTTTCTTTTGTCCTCCCGAGTCTGTTTCCCACCTTTTTCTGATTCTTAATAATATTTTTCATGATCTGAAACCACTATGAAATGTAGCCTTTGTTTTCATTTCTCTTTTTCGCCAAGCTTTTGTTTAAAATTAAGCAAGAATCAGGCCTGGGACTTGTCAGTCCAGGATTTGAACGCTTGTTGGTCACATGACCTTGGCCAGAAGACTTCTCCAAGCTTTGGCTCCTCTGAAAAGCAAGAGCGTCCACGGTAGCCAGAGGTTGTCTCAGCACTATCAAGCTATCGAGCTGTAGCCTCAGTGCCTGAGTTTGATCCCCGGCCAGGGTGCTGACCCACATGATGCAGCAGACCTGTCTTGCCCACTGCTCCCCTCAGCAGTGTGTTTCAGTAGATCCATCTGTTCTGCTCCCCACTCTGTCTCTGGTGAAGCCTCTCACCTACTCCCCTTACTTCTGGCCTACACCCCAGCTCTTGTGTGCATAAATAAATAAAATCTTAAAAAAAAAAGTAAGATAAAAAGCAAGCCAGCCGTCATGATACTTTGCACAGTGCCTGGCCCATCCATACTCAGTCTGTGGAGGCTACTCTCTTACAAGGCCACTGAGTGAGGCAAGGCCAGATCGCCATTGATTTGGTCAAGGACACAGAGTTAGCAGGTGGAGTTGGGACCTATCCCACATCTTCTGAGGAACCACCTCCTGCTTTAGTCTCTTATGTCTCACCTTGTTGACCTGAGTGACTACAGCATCCACGACCTCCCCTTTAAAGGGCCGGAAAACAATGGCCTTGTATTTCACTGGATAAAGGACAAATCCTCGGCCTGGTTGGATCACACCAGCACCGATGTTGTCAATAGTGGTAACAGCAATTACGAAGCCATACCTGCAAGGAAGGTGAAAAAGAGAAAGATATCTGCAACAAGTGTCACCACACCTGGGAGTTGGGTGGCAGCACAAAAGGGAAGGAGAGATCAAGAGCTAATGACCAAGAGAAGACAGGACTTATCAGTATAAGGCCAGTCACCACTCTAACTTCATGGTAAGTGCCCAATACAGTTTAATCTTTAGGGACCTCCCTGGTGGCGCAAGCGGTTAAGCACTGCACTATGAAGCAATCCACAGCCTCTGCAGCATGAGTTCCATTCCCCGCCAGCCAGGGAGCCAACTCACATGGCGCAGCAGACCTCTCCTGTCTCGCCCACTGCTCCCCTCAGCAGTGTATTTCAGTACAACTGCCTGTACTGTTCCCCACTCAGTCTCTGGTGAATCCTCTCATCTACCACATCTCTTACCTGCACCCCAGCTCTTGTATGCATAAATAAATCTTTAAAAAGAAAAAGAGGGCCTCCCTGGTGGCACAAGGGGCTAAGCACCCCACTGTGGGGCGGTCCATGGCCTCTGCAGCCCGGGTTTGCTCACCGGCCAGCCCAGGAGCAACCTACATGGCGCAGCAGACCTCTCCTGTCTTGCCGGCTGCTCCCCTCAGCAGTGTGTTTCAGTCAGTCTGCCTGTTCTGTTCCCCACTCTGTCTCTGGTGAATCCTCTCACCCCTCGCACCACTGGCCTGTACCCCTGATCTCGTATGCATAAATAAATAAATCTTTACCAAAAAAAAAAAAAGAAAAAAGAACAGACACACAAGGGACCTCTGTGGTCCCTGAAGGCTGGCCTCAGAATCTTGTTCACTGCACTGTGCCCAGGACCAACCTCGGGTCTGTCTGTGAGTAAATGAGTGACCAATGTGACTAGAGGGGCGGAAACACCAAAGCAGCAACTGACTGCCCGGTGCGCCCAGGTGAGAGGGTTCTCCGGGTAGGCGACAAGATCTTGGCGCGGGAGGACGGGTTGGAGGGGGTGGCAGGCGGCACTCACTTGCCCGTGCAGGTCCCCTCCACCTCGGTGAAGAGCTTCTGCTTCACTGTGTTGAGCAGGTTGGGGCCAAAGTAGCGCGGGTGCAGCAGGATCTCGTGCTCCAAGGAGATCTGCCGGGAAGTGGGATGGGGATCAGGCAAGGCGCGGGGGGCCGTGAGGCAGGAAGCGGCCCCGCGCCCAGGAGCCCCGCCTCGCGCCTCCAGCCCACCGCGCCCCGGCCGCCTCCCCGCACCCCGCTCACATGGTAGAACATCTTCGCCTGGAGGCTGGAGAGCGGCAGTTAAATCCCCAGGCGGCGGCTGCCTCACCGCGCCACCGGAAACGCACGCTGCCTCGACAACCTTGCTTCCGGCCGGGACCGGATTGGGTCGCTGTTGTGAGCGGGATTCGAATTCTACAAAGTCTCGCCCGCTCTGGGACTCGGCCCAACTCAGAAAGGAAAGTGCTGGGCTAGAATAGGTAGGTGCTCATTAACTACCTTTAAGTGAGGGCAGTGAATGAAAGGCGGCATAAATAAAACTCTTTAGTAGGGTGTATTCATCCAGTAAATATTTAACGGCTGCAGCCACTTGCTAAGCATAGTAAGTAGCTTTTCTTTTTTTAGGACAAAGAATTTTTGAGCCATTTAACAAAAATACAAGAGAACAGATCCACGCTTTTATTTACTGACTTCAATAAGCTTAAATCCTTGAGGGATTACAGCATCCCTTGTAATCCCAAGGGATTACAGTGAATCCCTTGAGGGATTCACTCCTGAGTGAATGCACTCTTCTAGAGCGTTTTATTTACAGCATCGTACATGCAGTAACTTCACTTAATGGTTGCTTGGGGAACTGGCACACAGCATGTCATGTGCCCACTGCCCACCTTCCCTCACCCCAGATCCCCAGATCTGGTTTTGTTCATTTCATGGTTCTAGTGTCAGGGTGGTCCAAGCAGCCTTGAGAAATTCCCTGTGGTCCAGAGCACTTTGGGTACATTAAAAGTAAAAGAGCCTGGTCTACCCCACAGCAAGGATGGAGACCTCATGCTTCCTTGCAGCTGTCATACTCCAAATCCCACGGAGTCTTCCCGTCTTCTAGGACAGCAGGGGCCATCAGTCAGCCATTCAGACCCTGTGGGGACACTTTCTGCCCAAGACCAGGCAAGGAAGCAGATGAGTGGACTTCAACATCCCTGATTCCCCCTGCCTCCACTTTACCACACCAGCCTCCCACCAAGGCAACCTTACGTGCTGCCCTTAGGGATGGTGAGCTGGAGGCAGCTACAAAAGCCAGTTAATATTTCCATCACTTTGCAAGTCAGTTTGTTGTTAAACACAGACACTTAAAAATTTAATTATTTTCATTTACAATTAAATGGATTATATTTTTTTTTTTTAAAGATTTATTTATTTATTTATACAAGCACTGGGTACAGTCAGAAGCACGGGAGGGTGAGAGAATTCACCAGAGCCAGAGCGGGGAGCAGAGCAGGCAGAAGGACCGAAGTACACTGCTGAGGGGAGCAGCGGACGGCAGGAGAGGTCTGCGCGCCATGTGGGACCCGCCTCCGGTGGCCGGGGAGCAGCTGGGGATCGAACCGGCGCCACAGAGGCCACGGGCAGCTTCGCAACCCAGCGCTCAACCGCTGCGCCACCGGGGAGGCCCTAAATGGATTATATTTTAAAACTAAGATAAAGATATAGATGAAACAACTTTGATAACACTACTTTTAAAGATATATTTTTATTTATTTATGCATACAAGAACTGGGGTCTAGGCCAGAGATGCATTGGGGGTGGTGGTGAGAGGATTCACCAGAGACAGAGTGGGGAGCAGGACAGGAGGATCTACTCAGATACACTCCTGAGCAGGGGGTGGGGCAGGAGAGGTCAGCTGTGTCATGTGGGTAGCTCCCTGGCTGGCTGGGGATAGAACTCTTCCTGCAGAGGCTCCAGATAGCTTCACAATGCTGTGCTTAACCCTTTGCACCACCAGGGAGGCCCCCCTGCTCCACTTTGATCCCAGAAGTCCCTGCTCCACAGAATAGGGACAATAATATCAAAACAGCACCTCACCACCCACTCTGCTTAAATCCCACCCTTGGCTTCCCATTACACTTATTATACTTAGAGACGCTTTCAAACTTCACGACCAATGAAATTCCATGCCTACCCATCAGAGTGAGACTAGATTTTCTTCATATAATCATAACATTGTATATAGCATAACGATGTATTTCTTCTTAACAACAGAAACATGGGAGGATCCAGCAGTTTTCTATTAAGACATTTAAGAAATTTGGGAAAATGTAATGTTTGTTTTGTAATTTTTGTTTTGGCAAATATAGATCCTTTTCATAAAACATGTAAGTGCTTTTTATGTTATGGTATAAGTTTTACTTCTTATACCATAAATATTGTATGTCTTGGAAGAATAGCTTGAAGAGGAGGGGTCTCAAACTGAGATCAGTGTCGTCTGCTTCTCTCTCACGGGCGGGCTGTCTTGAACTCTGGTTAGGTCTGACTGGAGAGCTTGGCTGCAGAACAGCACTGGAGATACTCCGTGTGGTGGGTGAACAGGGGGATAACAGACCATCTAGTCACTACTCTGTTAAGCCTGTCAACACCTTGCCCGGGTCAGAGAGGAGGCAAGATCATGTACTCCCAACTCACATTCCTCTCCTCTGGTTGTCGGGGGGCTCTCAAAGATTTCTTCTACTGGCCTATCCTGGCACAGGGAGGGCCCGACCCCACTCCCTCCCTTTCGATCGGCGCCTGCCCTGAGCGCTCCAGACACAGAAATCGATTGCAGAGCTCAGGCTCGAGACTCTACGAACGCTCTCGCGCAGCTGCCAATTCTCTGCGCCCCTTTCGGCCCGGACCCCGCTTGGGAGAGAAGGTGCCGGGCTGGGGAGGGAGCGCCCTGCCGGGGACGGCTGTCGTTCGCGGCCGCGGCAGAGCCGGGTCTAGGACCGGGCCTCTCGGGTACCACACCAGTTTGTTGGTTCTCCTTCTCCTGCACCCCCGCGAACAGTGGCGACGTCCTGTCCGGGACGGCGGACTTGGCGAGGGGTCCCGAGAGCACCGGCCGGAAGGGCCGGGCGCCAGGTCCCCGCCCTCCAGCCGCCTCGGGGCGATGGAGGAGCTCAGCCAATCCAGAGGGCTCTGAGGCCAAGGAGGCGGGACGAGGAGGGAAAAAAATTGGGGACAAGAACGCCAACCAATGGGGTGCCTAACTGCCTGAATGGCTGTCGCGAGCACCCACTTGGAGACACCGCTCAGAGCGGGGGCGTGGTTAGTGGATAGTGGACCAATCCCTGATGGGAGAAGGCAAACTTGGGCCAATCAAACCCGAGAAGGTGGGAAGGGGCGGAGTCTCCTGGTTGCTGCTCGGTGGTGGGAGAGGGATCAGCTTTCTCTGCTAGTTCCCGCCCTAAGACTTCTTAGCCCTTGGAATGCGAGAGGACGAGGCTCAGGGAATTCCTGGCGTGGGGCGTAGAGGCATCACCCGGGAAGATCTGGGAGCGAGAGAGGCTCTAAGTTGGAGGGGCTGCTGGAAGCTACCGGGTGGGCATCGAGGAAGCGGAGGCTGGTCAGGGGCGGGACTTCCGGGGCGGGGCTTTTGGAGACGGGGCGGGGCCTGTTGCCAAGGCTAGGCCGAGGGGCGGGGCTACAAGGAGCCCACTTGGTGGGACCTAGGAGATAGAGCTGCAGTAACTTAAGGCGCTGTCTTGGGTTCAGGACGGTTTTGCCAGAGGTTTTGGGGTGGCAAGTGATGGCTCAGGGTTGATGTTAAGGTTGCTGGGAGGTTACCTACCCTAACCCACTGTCCTTTCTTCTCAGGGAGCCACAGGTGGGGACCTTTCTAGGGTCCCTCTCACTTCGTGGGCTGCTATGGATTTTCCAGAACACAGCCAGCAGCTACTGCAGAGCCTCCGAGAGCAGCGGGCCCAGGGTTTCCTTTGTGACTGCACTGTGATGGTGGGTAGCACCCAGTTCTTGGCCCACCGTGCGGTGCTGGCGTCTTGCAGCCCGTTCTTTCAGCTTTTCTACAAGGAGCGGGAATTAGACAAGAAGGATCTGGTGTGTATCCACAATGAGATTGTCACAGCCCCAGCTTTTGGGCTGCTCCTGGACTTTATGTATGCTGGCCAACTGGTCCTGAGGGGGGATACCCCTGTGGAGGATGTGCTGGCAGCTGCCAGCTACTTGCACATGAATGACATTGTCAAGGTGTGTAAACGGCGACTGCAGGCCCGGGCCCTGGCAGAGGCGGATAGCACTAAGAAGGAGGAGGAGAGCAATTCACAGGCTCCTAGTTTGGAGTTTTTGTCCAGCACGTCCCGGGGCCCCCAGTCTTCAATGGCATCTGCTGAGACATCAATCCACTGGGGAAAGGGTGACTGGAAAGGCCCTGCTGCCCCCTCACCTACTGTCTGTCCTCCAGATGAGCCACCAATGCCCGGAGGGGCTGACACTACGCAGCCTGGTGTGGAGGTTGACTCATCGCATCTGCGGGTACGCGCCCCACCAGTGACTGATGTCTCTCTTGCCAGCCCCAGTAGCTCCACAGAGACTGTTCCTGCAAACTACTTCCCTTCTGGTCTCCCAACAGTTTCAGTGGAGCCACTGGCTTCCCTCGATGTGGGTCCTGAGGGTCTGAGGGTAGTGGAACCCAGGGCTCCTGGGGGCCTGTTGCAAGGCTTCTACCCCCCAGCTTTGGCTGCAGCCCCAGTCCTAGCCCCGGTTCTATCCCAGGCTCCAGCCCCAGCAGAAGCTGAGTTGGTCCAGGTGAAAGTGGAGGCTATTGTGATTTCCGATGAGGAAACTGAGTTGTCAGAGGAACAGCCCCAGGGGCCTGAGGGATTGTTCCCACCTGGAGCAGCAATGTATGTTGAACAGCCATCCCAGCCAGAGACTTTTGAGGAGCCAAGGGCAGCAGGGCTGGAGGAGGTGGGACCCAGTGACCACTTCCTGCCTCCTGATCCTCACCTGCCCTACCATTTGCTACCAGGTCCAGGGTCATATCATCGGGGACTGGTGACCTCACCCCTGCCTGCCCCCCCAGCCCTGCATGAACCACTTTATTTGCCTTCTGAGTATGAAGCAACCCCGGGAAACTTTGGAGTTTTTACCGAGGATGTTCCCACTTGCAAGACATGTGGAAAGACCTTCTCATGCTCTTACACTCTCCGGCGACACGCCACAGTGCACACGCGTGAGCGACCCTACGAGTGCCGCTACTGCCTGCGCAGCTACACGCAGTCAGGGGACCTGTACCGCCACATCCGCAAGGCCCACAACGAGGACCTGGCCAAACGCAGCAAACCAGATCCAGAGGCGGGCCCCCTCCCCAGAACACAGCCCCTCCCCGGCTCTCCTGCAGCAGACAAACAGAACAATGGTGGTGGGGGCCACCCAAAGATTTTGTACATGGCCCCAAAAACTGATATCCAGGGGAGCATGAACTGATGCTAGGCCTGCTCTTGCCCTCATTAGGAGGCTGCACAGCAGGTCAGAAGCATCTCATTTACCCTGCTGGATGGCAGAAGGAAGCTTCTGCCCAGTCTGAAGGCTCCTGCCCTCTTCTTTGCCCAGCCAGATAGCTGACCTTCATGGGGCAAAGCGTCAGGTGCTTTCCAGGGGCACTGGGGATTTTCCTGCTCTAATGGTTTCTCACTGCACATTCTGGACCATAAACCTAGAGTGAAAGTATCTCACTGAGCTGGTGTTGGCTAGTTTCTTGCGCAACCCGCATGCCTCCTGATTTCTTCATCCCTCTCCTCCAGATGGGTTAGGAATCTAACATGGGTACCTGGGGTAGGGGTGGTAGTCAGGTCGCTTATAGGGAAAACAGTGAGGTAGGCAGAAGCAATACAGACTTCGGAAACTTTCACCAGTTAGGGAATCTTACACAATTATGGTTTATTGTGGTAGCCAAGCTCCTTTGTACTGGGCTGTATTAGCAACTTAATATATTCATTGAATCCTCAACACCGCTAGGCAGTATTAGCCCCCCATCTTCTTTTTTCCCCACAGAGAAGGAAATCTGAGGCTCAAAAATCAAAGTTAACTTTTTCAAGCTCACAGCTGAGATTTAAAGGATGGTTAGTTGGTGGCTTCAAACGCCAGGCATGATGCTGTGCTGATTTGATAATTGAAGATCATTAACAGAGAACTGGAAGTTGTTTTTTGTCCTTTGGAGTGTTTGGCTTTGCTCTCTTATCCCCTTACTTCTAGGACCTTTGTGTTGATTATTTCACTGGCAGATACTTGCAACTTTTGCTTACAAGTCATAAATATGAATTGAGGTCCAACAAGAGGAGAAACTGAAAGGCAGAAAGCACTTAAGCTCCGTGGCAATAGATCTGTTCAGGGAGGTTGAGGGCCTCCAGAACGGAAATGGGGTGCTTGGGAAAACTAAAGCAACAAACTCCAGATGAGACAATCTTACCGTTCATCTAGTCCAACTCCCTCACTTGAAAAATGTGTGAACAGCTTAGAAAGCAGATTCCTCATCTGAGGTCACAGGATGGTGTTGACAGAAGAGAAGCAGAGACATGGGTATTTGGCATGTTGATGTGAGATGAGGGGAAAAGAGTTTTCAGGATGTTAGAGAAGGGTCTGGCCCAGCTGGTGGTGGAGAGGGGTGCTGGAGTGGGAGCTGGAAGTCTCCCTACAAAGCCTTCTCTGGCTCAGAATCTTCCTGGGAGGTGAAAATCAGTACATTTTCTGAATTTCTTCTTTTTGAATTTGTCTATCAAATTCAGCCTGGTGAACGCTTATTAGCCAGCTCCTGCTTTTGTTATGGGAAGCAGCTAGAGCTGAACTTCAAAGATTTGGCCAAAGAAAGCTCCTTACCTGTCTTCCTAGAATTAATATCAGTAGCCTGTAAGAATCTGTGGCCTTTAAAAGGGTGCATTTTAAGGTATGTGAATTGCATATCAATTTTTAAAAAAGCAGAAAAAGAAATTGGTTGCTTCAGAATGTTAAGCAAGGCTTAATAAATACTTGTGTATTTTGCATATATAATGTGTATTATTTCTCCAGACAGTCTGGGGAACATGGTAACCATTAGTACAGTCTGGGCCAAGTGCAATACTTAAATAAAGAAGGTTTGCTACTTAGTGAAGTTCTCCTTGAAGAGCAGACATTTGCTTTCAGTTGCCAGCAGGAAGTGTGTTCTTCACTGGAGGTGGCAGTCAGGAGTTTGCAAGGTGTTTAAAGCAGCAACCAGCACAATAAAGGCCAGAGCCGCCTCACTTAACCTGCTGGATGCTAAGGAGAGTTTATGCCAGTCCTAGGAGGTGGGGTAATAGAGAATCCCTCTAGTTTCCATTGCTCCTCATGGTCCTATCCATGGATTCAGGGGACCACAGTCTACACTGGATCCCTTTGCCAGTTGCTGTCAAACCTCTGCTTGAAAGGGAACTCACTATCCCAAAAGAAAATCTACTCCAGTCTTGCACAGCCCTGTCTATGCTTCAAACCAAAATCTGCCCCTTTTAGTGGAGTCATGGAGCAGACCCCAACCTATAAAAATTTCATAGACTGAGAATTTGCTTGTAAGCTATAATCTTAAAGTTTTCAGAAAACCATCCTTTTCTTTAAAAAAAAAAATTATTTATTTATGCATACAAGAGCTGGGGTACAGGCCAGAGGTACAGAGGGTGAGAGAATTCACCAGACACCGAGTGGGGAACAGAACAGGCAGATTGACCGAAGTACACTGCTGAGGGGAGCAGTGGGCAAATCAGCAGCAGGAGAGTCAGAAAAGGTCTGCTGCGCCATGTGGATTGCTCCCTGGCCAGCTGGGGATCAAACTTGTGCTGCAGTGGCTGCAGACAGTCCCATAGGTTGTGTCCCAATCCCTTGCGCCACTAGGGAGGCCCCGAAAACCATCCTTTGTTCTCCAGCTTTAGAGATTTCTAGTTTAGGTTTCCATTTTTTTTTTTTTAAGATTTATGTTTACTTATTTTCTTAAAGATTTGTTTATTTATGCATGCAACAACTGGGGTACAGTCCAGAGATGTAGGGGTGGGGGGGGGGGGGAGAGGATTCACCAGAGACAGAGTGGGGAATAGAACAGGCAGATTGACTGAAATACACTGCTGAGGGGAGCAGCGGGCGGGCAAGATAGGAGAGGTCTGCTGCGCCATGTGGGTCGCTCCCCGACCGGGGATCGAACTTGTGCTGCAGCAGCCACAGATAGCATCATAGGTTGCATCTTAACCCCTTGCACCACCAGGGAGGCCCTAAAGATTTATCTATTTATGCATAAAACTGGGGTGCAGACCAGAGGTGCAGGGGGTGAGAGGATTCACCAGAGATGGGAGCAGTACAGGCAGACCTATTGAAATACACTGCTAAGGGGAGCAGCAGGCCAGACAAGGAGAGGTCTGTTGCACCATGTAGGTCAGCTCCTGGCGGGGAATCAATCTCAGGTTTAGCAGTGATAGCACTGAGACTTAACCCCTAGGCTACCAGGGAGGCCTCTTTAAGTCTCTCTTAATCCATATGTTACCCTCTCTTTTTCTCTGAAAGTTACTTACTGAAGAAATGGGGTCATCCATCTTAGGATTTTAGTCTGGAGTTTGCTGATTACTTCCCCACAGAATCATTTAACATGCTCCTCTGTCCCAAATTCCTTAATAAGCAGCCCATGCTGAAGGCCTGTTTCCTAGGCTACAGACGGGGGACTTGTTCCTTACTTCCAAATTCCTTAATAATAAATATTTAAATATATATAGACTAAATAGTATAGGTACTATGCAGTTTTGGCAATATTGTAAAGGTAATGGGTATAAGCTGGGGAAACTTATTTTTTAAAGATTTATTTACGTTTACAAGAACTGAGATGTAGGCCAAAGCTGCTGAGGGGGGAGAGGATTCACCAGAGAGAGTGGAGAGCCGAACAGGCGGATCTACTGAAATACACTGCTGAGGGGAGCACTGGGTGAGACAGGAGAGGTCTGGCCAGGATCGAACTTGTGCTGCAGTGGCTGCCGATAGCTTAATAGTGCTGAGACTTAACACCTTGCGCCGCCAGGGAGGCCCTCTCCCCCAGAAACTGTTTTAAACTGTCCATTATGTGCCTAAGTATGAACCTTCACATCCACCATAAATGCTTTTCCTTCCATCAAACCCTCAAATCCAGCATGGAAACCATGGAGTGTTGGCAGGGTAAGCAGCGCCCTCCCCACCAACTGAATAGTGAGTAGAGCTTCAGGTACACCCCAGCTGATTATTCAGGATGGGGGCCGCCAGCCTCCTCCAGACCCACTTCACACTGCTTGCCTCTGTCCACTTTCCTGTTCATAACCTCTGCATTAGGAAGTGGCCTTGAGTGGAACCCTGCCCACTTTTCTCTTTACAGTGCACTACAAGGATTAATGCAGTAATTCCTCAAATATGTCATCAAATATCAACTTTATTTTTTTCCTCATTGATGCACAAGAAAGCTCACTGTAACACTGAATCATCGGGAAAGAAAAACAAAATAGAAGACAAAACCAGAAAATAAAAGCCAGCTCAAATAAACAAAACCTTGACAAAATTTGTTAACCAGCTAGGCTTTGCAACTTAAGCTGCTTAGAAGAGAAATACAGTATTGTATACTTTGTTAGTTCTGTCCTTGTCTTCCTAAGATTATTTGGTAGAAAACCTCTTGCAGTAAGTGGGTAGCTGTGTTATTGATGGGTACAGGGAGACACAAAGAGGGGCCTACATCACTGGAAGAGGGAAGGTAAAGAGGAGCCTCTAGCACGAGTGGCAAGGCTACAGTGGTGCTTTTGTTTTGAAATAGTTCTGTGGTTGTGTGATGGCTGATGACATGCTTCTGTCTCCCCTGCTGCGAGGAGGGGCGCTCCATACCTTTGTCCACGCTGCTGAATGGGTATGTTATTCACCACAGTTAACAGAACAAGAAAGGAACTCCTGGTTGATGGAGCCTCCTACAGAACCCTAGCTGCATGAGACCTGCGACCTCTGTCTAGGCCCAATACAGCTTCCAGAAAGTTCTGTCAGGTGTTTGGAAGGCACTAAGGAAGGAGAATTCTTGTTTCCCTCCTCTGTTAGCAACTAAGCTCTTGAAACAGGTAAAGTTACAGATGGTATTATTTCTAGCAACCTGAAATCTGTCTTTCCTATGTCTTTTAGAGAAAGAAGCATACCATAGATATGCAACCTATTACAAAATTAAAATGTTTACTTGGGTGTTTTTGGCATGAGGACTAAATGAAAACTTAAATGTTTGATTCCTGAGGTTTTACAATAGAAGAATTTAATGAAAAAATAAAGAAGTATAGTATCTTAATGATCTGAGTATGAACAACAGCAAGGAAAAGTCACCCAGGGAAAGAGCAGGATCCAGGTACTTTGTAAGAGAAAAAAATCTGATTGTAGGTAGAATATTAGGAGCAAGGAATTAATTTAATCAAAAATAGCTGATTTAAAATCTTTTCTTTTAAGGTATGTCCATCCAAATTATAGTTGTCTGGTTTCACAAAAAATATTTCCTGGCTGGTGGCCTGTGTAACGGTGTCTTTGGGTATCTGAGTAAACCAATGGAGAAACTCCTTTCTGTCTAGCCTTACTCTCTCACTCTCTGCTAGCCTCCTTCCCTGCACACAACTACATCTAACTCATCCACCAGTAAGGCCTGTGTCATGGATATGATCAATTCTATCCTGATGAATAGATGATGAATTGATGAATAGAATGATGAATTCTATCCTGATCAATTCAAGCTGATGAATGATTTTCTGGTTGTATTCTCAAGGTGAATGTCCACAGGATGCCAGGTATTAAGAGCTCCACAATATACAGATGGATGACCAAAAAAAGACACAGTGTGTCAGAGGTAAAGATTTTGGACAGAACTGGAAACAAAACAAAACAGAAGTCCACTCAGGTCAGAGATGTGCTAATTTCTCTTACTGAGGCGCCCCTTGATGAGTCTTTAATGGTTCCCCTAAGTTCAACTGAAGAAGCATCTTTCTTCTTTGTTAACCAAACATGCCCAGGTAGAGCTGCTTCTCTTTCTGGTGGTAGCTGCTGAGTTCCGACTGTGTTAGCTGGAGGTACCGCCGGACATTGGCATCTTAGAAGAGGACAAAGAAGGCAATTAGAGACAGTGTGGATAATAATCTTAGCTCAGGGTAGGAAAGGTTTGTTAATACACTTCCATTAAAAAAAATCTTTCAATATCACTTGGTCGGCTTTTTGGCTAAGATCAAGGGGAGGGTCTGTTCTTAACCAGTTTGGTATCGGATACGTCCTCTATCTGAGGACAATATAGTAAATGGACTTTTGGAGCAGGGAGATGGGATAGGAGCTTGCTCTGTTCACTCCACGCATTGATCTGGTATGGCAGGACCTCCAGGAACAGGGTACCCTCTCTTTAAAAAAAATTCTAGGGGTCTCCCTGGTGGCTCAGGGGTTAAAGTATCAGCGCATCAAGCTCTCACCAGCCACTGTGGCAAGAGTTCAATCCCTGGCCAGGAAGCTGACCCACATGGTGCAGCAGACCTCTCCTGTCTCCCCACTGCTCCCCTCAGCAGTGTACTTCAGTATATCTGCCTGTTCTGCTCCCTCTCTTCCCTCCTCATCGCCCCCACCCCGACCCCGCATCTCTGGCCTAGACCCAGGTTCTTGTATGCATAAATAAATACAATCTTTCAAAAGAAAAATTCTATTATCTGAATATGTCACTACTAGTCTATGCAATAGTAAATTCATGAATTACTATCAGTTTGAATTTTTTTAATCTCTTTACATTGCTGGGCTGATTGTTAATTTTATAACGAAAGGGGGTTTGAAGAAGCAATTATTGTCACAGCAGCGCCTCTAGACATGCTAGATGTGGGTGGCAGCTAATCTGTGTGCTTAAAGGTAATAAACAGGAATGAATGGCTCAGATTTTCTATCTTTATGAGTTCACAGTGGTTTTCCCATTCATCTAGTGCGATTTTACTGCGCTGTTATATAGTTGGGGCCCTTTGTTTGTAGCATCTAGTAACTGCTCTAAACCAGAATAAAAAAAGGGGGGGAAGCAAATGTTTAGTGGTGAACCCCCAACACAGGAAGGGGTCTGTCATCTGTCTCACAAAGTCCCTTTTGCCTTGGAAACAAGGTGCTGCTTCTCCAATTTTTTCACAGTAGGCCTGCCCTCTTTCTAGGTCATACCTGGGGATAGCTGAGCTGAAGGATAAAATGATAGTTAAAGCAAAGGCCAGATCTCAGCTGGAGAACTGACAGAAATGAGGATTATCAAATTTATTCATTGGAATCCAAATTCTATTTTGGTTACCTTGAAAAACAATGCATTAAAATTTCTTTCAGGGAGGATGGGAGATTCTATATCTGACAGTTGAAGCATAAATATTTCTGGAGGACATATAACATTGCTTTCCTGTGGAGACAAGACTATAAGAGTAGAAGGCCAATTCATTGTACCCCTTTTTTGAATTTTGAAGCAAGTGAATCAAAAACGTCAAAGAATTGGAAAATAAAAGAAAACCTTTCACAGATACCACCTTTGCAGGACAACCTTGTCTGCCCTCGCTGCTTCACTCCCCTTCTCTCACCTTTCGGCTGCCTACTGACAGCAGCCAGGAGGTAGTGCCGTGCCTGGTCATAGTCCTGCAGATGGAAAAAGGCCACCCCAGCCCGGTACAAGGCCTTGGCATTATCAGGCTGTCGTTCCAGGACTTTCTGGCTATATTCTTTCACACGTTCGTAGTTTACAGGCTCCATCTGAAGGAGACAAGCTAGTGGGGCCAGTGAAAGGAGAGAAGAGGGAAGGGACCACAGTACATTAGTTCCACAGGCCAGCTCAAGGCAGTCCCAAACACATGGACATCAACATCATCCCACAAAATGTAAGCATCTGCCCCGTACCAGACATTCTTCCAGGCACTGGGGAGGCAGGAGTGAATACAATCTTTACACACCTTCATACTGCATACCCAGTGCCAGATTAGGTGCAGCTGTATGACTTTAACATTGACTTGCATCTTCTCCTTTGTGTCTCTTCTCCCCCAGGTTCTCTGCCTGAATCTCTCATTTTACCGCAGTTGTTCACAGCTTTGTTAATAACAAAGGTTGCCATGACTGTGCAATGCAACAGCCAGCACCATGCTCTGTGCTCCTTTAATATTCTCTACACTGTAATACCAGTGTTACTATCTGCATTTAATGAAGAAATCAAGGCTTGTGAGAGGTCAAGTAACTTGCTCAAGATCCCACAACTTTTAGGGCCTCCCCGGTGGCGCAGCGGTTGAGCGCTAGGTTGCGAAGCTGCCCGCAGCCTCTGCAGCGCTAGCTCGATCCCCGGCTCGATCCCCGGCTCAATCCCCGGCCACCGGAGGAGGGTCCCACATGGCGCGCAGACCTCTCCTGCCACCCGCTGCTCCCCTCAGCAGTGTACTTCGGTCCCTCTGCCTGCTCTGCTCCCCGCCTGCACTTCTGACTATACCCAGTGCTTGTATAAATAAATAAATCTTTAAAAAAAAAAAAAAAAAGATCCCACAGCTTTTAGATGGAGTGACTAAGAAATTTGAACCAAAGACTCTCTAACTCCAAAATCATTGCACTCAATGACAATATATGATTTCACTGTTCCCTTGGATGATTTAATGGAACCTCAAACAACAAATCGGTTTAAGAGGCAACGTTTGAGTCTTTCTATAGTTAAGGACAATGCAGTCCCTATTTCATAGTTGTGAGAATTAAACTCGGTACTATTAAACCATGGTGCTGACAGATGGACAATCAGGGTGATGAGGACCTTAAAGGGTCTGGGTCCCTGACTTCATCCCCAAATGACATCTCCCACCTGGTGGTCATCTGGATTATATTTAGTTATTTCCCCAGGTGTCAACTAATCCATCACTGCAGCTTCATTCATTCATTTGACAACTAGTTACAGAGCGTTGACTGTGTGCTAGGTAGAGCTAGGAACAGGGGATAAGAACAAGACAGACATGTTGATGAGTGAATATGGCTTTTATCCTAGCACCCAAGTCAGAGGATTACACAATAAACAGATAACATATTTTAAATTGCTTTGAGGAATCTAGAACTGTGCAGAGAGTGAATGAGGTCAGAGTGCTGCTTGGTTACAGAAGGCGTCTCTAAGAAAGTGACTTTTGTGCCAAGATCTGAATGACAAGGGGAGTTCTGAGGACAGGGCTTCTAAGAGAAGAGAACCTGAGAAGATGGAGGGGGGAATGTGTTTTGTGACTTCCATATATGGAGGAGTCAGGCCCTGCAGGTGAGGATCAGAGTTTGGATTATTTCCTAAATGTCATGAGATGCCCCAAGAGTGTTTCAGGCAGGACATGATCTGACTCATCTGTAAAAATGAGGATCATCATAACTACCTTGCAGAATGTTAGTGAAGATGAGAAAATAGAAATAAACTGCCCAACATGTTATAGGCACTCACTAAATGAAAACTGTTAATTATGTGAGTCTTCATGGATCATCTACCAGGCGCACAAGCCGATGGCTAAGTCACGGCCCCTACCTTCAAGACCCCTGAGAGTCAAGCTACTTACAATTACCCAGTCTCCCAAACATATCATTTCCTTGATGGAAATGAGTCAATTTCTGGTCAATTCCCTAACAGGTATTCTAGTCTCTAAGATGCAATGTACAGCATTCTGCAAAAAGAACGTAAGTCCCATTGTTAACACTAGCCAGGTTTAATTTTAGCTCCACCACTGTCTAGCTGTTTGCTTCCTTAAACCCACCTTAAAGGGGGACTCCCTAGTGGAACAGGGGTTGAAGCCTCAGCACTGTGAAGCTATCTGCAGCCACTGCAGTACAAGTTCAATCCCTGGCCAAGGAGCTGACCCACATGGCGCAGCAGACCTCTCCTGTTGGACTGCTCCTCCCCTCAGCAGTGTATTTCAGCAGATCCACCTGTTCTGCTCCCCATTTCGTCTCTGGTGAATCCTCACGCCCCCCACACCTCTGGCCTACACCCCAGTTCTCATATGCATTAAAAAAAAAACCCACCTCAAAGGACTGCTGTGACATTTAAACAGTTAATATGTGTAAAGGGCTTAAAACACCGTCCGTGGCATTTCATGTTACTTTGATGAGCCCTCCGTGATCACTCTCTTTAAAAGTTAACATCCTGTGCCTGTGGCACTTGCTATCCCCATTTTCTGCTCTATTCCTTTCCACAGTGTTTATCCCCTTCTTATATATTATACATGCCACTTTTGTTAATTGTCCTTTACTTGAATATGTTTCAAAAGCAGGGATCTTTGTTTTATTATACAGCTGTGTCCTTGGTATACTCAATAAATCATCCTTGAACGGAATGAACTCAAACATTAGCAACTACAATTACTATTATTGTTATTTGTGTCCAAGAGTAGCACTGGACACACAACAGTAGGAAAGATTTTCACCAAATCAGAGCATTGTAGTGAAAAAGAAAATTACAGGGCCTCCCTAGTGGTGCAGGCGGTTGAGCGCTGCGCTGTGAAGCTGTCCGCAGCCTCTGCAGCCCCAGTTAGATCCCCCCTGGCTTCGGAGCAACCCACATGGCGAGCAGATCTCTCCTGTCTTGCCCACTGCTCCCTTCAGCAGTGTATTTCATCAATCTGCCTGTTCTGTTCCCTGCTCTGTCTCTGGTGAATTCTCTCACCCTCCAGCGCATCTGGCCTGTACCCCAGTTCTTGTATAAATAAATAAATATTTTCTTTAAAAAAAAGAAAATTACAACCATTGCAAAGTGGAAAATTACTCCTAACCATCTCGAACATAAGTTCTCTATAGAGTGCGACATGCGTAATTCTTAAGGCTATCAGTATCGCCAGTTAGAAATGCAAATTGGCAGGCTCCGCCTCAGGCTCCATTAAATGGGAATCTCTGGGGACCTGGCTCGAGAAGTTGTAGCTAACCTATTCTCCAGGTGAGCTCTAAGGAACTCAATAGGAGCCCTGTAGGTTAGAACTATATTGCAGCGCATAACAGAATAACCAGATGATAGCAGAAAAACACGCCAGTGTTTTTTCCTGTGTGCAGAGGTTTTCATGTGCCTACCTCGATACTCTACCCACCCCTTCACCCTGTTCTTACCAGCTAGATTGTTGTAGCAGTCTGTCTGGGTGGCGTGCAGTATGTTTTCTTGTTCGGGTGTGAGAGCCGGGCCCTGAGGTCCTAGATTAGGTATCGGGGAGGGAAGACTTGGATCCAGCCCTCGCAGCTGAAGCAGAGCTCGATGGTACCTACTCACAGCATCTCGGTACTTCCCTTCCCGGTAACGCTGGTTCCCTTTCTCCTTGTACAGCTGAGCCTCCTGCAGGCGCTTCTCCATAACTCCTAGTCGCCCAGTGTGCTTGCAGAACCGGGAGTGAAACAACAACTGAAGCTCTGGGATGGGAGCAAATTAACTGATTTTGGCAGCCGATGTAAGAAGACAAGAAATGACCCTTCTCCGGGAGGCCCCGCGGGGAGTGAGCCTTGTTGCTTTTGACAGCCCTTTCCTCTCTGCAGTATTTTCCAATCTCTACAAGTGCAGGGAGCTAATCAGGGAGTGAATGAAGGCGGGGCACAGCCAAGACTGGGTGATTTCCTAAAGAGGCGCTGCCGGGCTGGGGACTCCCGGAACGTGAACGGGGCCTGCCTGCTCAGGGCTCGCGGCCGGCGGGCGAGCGCCGGCGGAGTTTGCTTCCTCCTCTCCCTGGACACACCTCCCCGACCTGGAAGTGGAAGGGGGTGGGCGGGCACGCCCGCCGAGGGAGTCTAGAGGGCTTTGGCCTCCACGCCGGCCCTTCAGTTGCATTTATTCAACGAGCATTTGTTGACGCTTTTGCCCGGGGCCGGGAGCCGAGGGGAGGGCGGCTCGGGGGCCGCACGCCGGGAGGCGAGGCCCAGGCAGTCGCAAAGCTGCCCACAGGCCGCTCCAGCCCCGCGCCCTCGCCCGGGCCCCGCCGGAAGTCCCCCGCCCGGGGTTTCCGGGAGAGCGCGCGAGAGGCCCGGCGCGTCCCCGACAGTTTGCCGTCTAACGCGCCGCGCGCATTGCGCCACGCCGCCCAATCAGAGCAGCCCCCGGAAAAGTAATCCCGCAGAAACGGCCCCGCCCCCCCCGCCTCCCAGCGGACCAACCCGGAAAAAAAAAATCCCCGGCAGTTCTGCCAATTGGAAAATTCCGGGCGACCGCGGATGACCAATCAGAGCTGCAGCTGTCGATTCAAGTTGGCCAATAGGAGCGAGAAGGGGGAGGTCGGGGCGTCTGTTGCTGGGTAGAAGTTGAGGGATCGAGGTCAGAGGACCCGGGGTGGCGGTACTCCTTGGTTTCGGGGCGCCCTTTTGTTTACTAACCAGTAAAGCAATGGCTAGTGGGCTCTCGTGGTGCGCCAGCTGCCCTCCCGACTATTTTTTTAGTTCTCAACAAGCAGCTGCGCGTGTAGGCGGCAGGGCAGGCTGACGAGCGTAAGCCCCGAGCCGACGCGGCGGGAAGTCCGCCGGGAAGGGTGGCGGTGGGCGGCGGGGCGCGTGCGCGGAGCCTCAGGCGGCCGGCGCGGGGGGACGGGCGCGCCCGCGCCTCCTGCTACGAGGCACTTGAGCCCCAGCCAGTCCCGACCGTCCGCGGCCCCCGTGCGGCTGCGCAGTGGAGCCGCCGGTGGCGATTGGCCGGCGGCTGAGCGGGGGCGGGCGGCCGGGGGCGGGGCGTCTGTCGTCCTCGGCGCGCGCCCGCCGCGGCAGGGAAGCCGAGGGGGCCGGAGGGGAAGCGACTCCCCGCCGCGTTGATTTGGGCTCCGGGGGCCGCCAGGGGGAGGGCGGAGGAAGCGGCCGCGAACGCTGCGCAGGGAGTCTGCGCGCGGCCGGCCTGCGTGCGTGCGTGCGTGCGCTCGCTCGCGCGGGCTCCGTGCTGGCGCGTGAGGCGGAGGCGGGCGGCGGCGGCGCCTGCGCGGTCGGGCTCGGTCGACGGTTCGCAGGGGAGGAGGCGGCGGGAGGCGGAGGAGGCGGCGGCGGCGATGGAGGTGAAGCGGCTGAAAGTGACCGAGCTGCGGTCGGAGCTGCAGCGGCGGGGCCTGGACTCGCGCGGCCTCAAGATGGAGCTGGCGCAGCGGCTGCAGGAGGCGCTGGACGCCGAGATGCTCGAGGACGAGGCCGGCGGCGGCGGGGCCGGGCCCGGCGGGGCCTGCAAGGCGGAGCCTCGGCCTGTGGCCGCGTCGGGCGGCGGCCCGGGCGGGGACGAGGAGGAGGACGAGGACGAGGAGGAGGAGGACGAGGAGGCCCTGCTGGAGGACGAGGACGAGGAGCCGCCCCCCGCGCCGGCCTCGGCGCCGGCGGCGCAGCCCCCGCCGGAGCCCCCGGAGGCGGCGGCCATGGAGGCCGAGGCCGACCCCGACGCTCCCGAGCAGCCGGCGGAGGCGGCCCCGGCCGGGCCGGGCGGGGTGAACGGCGGCGAGGAGCAGGGCCCCGGCAAGGGGAGGACGACGAGCCGGAGGAGCGCAGCGGAGACGAGACGCCGGGATCCGAGGCGCCGGCTGACAAGGCCGCGGAGGAGCAGGGTGAGGAGCTGGCGGCGGGGCCCGGCCGCGCCGCGGGGCCCTCCCCGGTGCGCGCTCGCCAGAAATTGCGAGGCGCGCTGCACCGCCGGCCGGGACGCCCCAGGGGAGGCGGCTTCCTTATCTGCCCGCCTTTGGGAATGGGGGGGCGCCGCTGTGGCCCCGCTCCCGCCGGAGGCCGCCCCGGCGGCGGTGCGTGGAGCGAGCGGCCCGGCTGGCGAGCCGCCTGCGGCGACCTGTGGAGCAGCCGCCCCCGCGCCCTCCGGGGGAGCGAGAGCGGGGACCGGGCGACCGCTCGGGCGTCCAGGCCGACCGCTGGAGCCTGCGGCCTGCGGGCCGCCTGGCTGTTGACTTTTTTCGCCATAAAAATGCTAAGCAATAAACTAAGTTCATCAAAGTTTGCTCCAGCGCCTTGCTAGAGCTTGAGCCACGCAGGGACGCGGCAGGCTCCCCCGTTCCCTGCTTTAGAAGCAGGGGACAGCTTGGCGTGTGAGGGGGTCAAGCTTAATAGTTAACTAGCGGGGAGGAGATTTTTCTAACGCGTCTGAGTAAGTCGTCGTTGGCCCGGGGTTTTCACTTCGCTTGTGTTCTTCGGATGCCGTTTTTAAAAAGCTTCCCGTTGATTGGCCGGGGGCATATTTGCGGGCTCGCTGTCCCCGCGCCGGCCTTCTGCAGGTCGCGCTCCCGACTTCCTGCACTGAAATGATGGAGGTGCGCGGGCCCATTGAGTAACCTTGTGGACGGGAATGAGTAGCGTCACCCCGGGAAGTGGTGACCTTTCTCGCTCCCTTTGAAGTCATTGAATGGCCGGAGCTGATCCCTAACTGTCAGAGTGGGGAGTTAACTAGAGCTGCTTCCCAGTCTTACTATGAAGTGAGTTGCCGTGGTGGTTTTTTAAATCCGTTTTTACCGCTGCTACTTAGTATCGTGGTATAATTGGAACCCGTTCTATGACAGTCACATGCAACTTCCAGACTGTTTGTCCTGTGTCCTGGAACAGGAACCCATTACATAACCTTTGACTTACTGTGTATCTCAAATCGCTGGTAAAAAAGTGTGAGAAATGAAAGGTTGTTTTAAGGAAATTATTATTTAAAATCTTGTAAGAGTTGCAAATTTCAACAGCCTAGGGGAAAATTCCAGGTTTTTCTTTACTCTTGTAAAGAATGTTGCTATATATATGACAACACCTTTCTGTCCCAAATTATGTGCAGTAAAGATGCAGTATTATTTATGGCTCTCTTGTGACTTAATGGTTTGCTTTTGCAACTTTAAGTAAAAATCCATGATAAAAATACAATTCTGTGTCACATACCTGAGCCATTTGCATTGATGGCTGTGCATTCTTAAGCTGGGAAGCCAAACTTTTTTTGTTGCTTTTTACAAAATCTAGACGCATGTATTGTGTAGCTGTGGGCAAGTGTCAGAAAATATGTATTAAATATCTTGTTTAAATTCAAATCTGATAATCAAGAATCAAAATTAAATTAACCAATGAAAATTGTTTTTAAGACATAGAGGATTTTCCATGTTATATTGGTGGGGAAATGTGTAAGTTTGACCTGATTTTAGCAGGTAAATTTAGAAGGCAAAAAATTGTCCACTTTTTGTCTACTACTTGACTGTAATTAGCCTATAATTTTTTTTTTAATTTAATAAAGTCCTAGTCAATGGCAGGGAGATGATCTTTGGAAATAAAATTTCTGTGGCTGCAGTGGGGAAAATCTGGCTGTTTTTTGAGTAGACAGACACTCAGTTTACCCTTTTGTCTCTGTTGGGTCTGAGCTTATTCTACATTCCAGTAGGAAAACTGCTGATTCTCTCTCCCTCCTTTTTGTAGGAGATGACCAAGACAGTGAAAAGTCAAAGCCAGCAGGCTCCGACGGTGAGCGGCGGGGGGTAAAGAGACAGCGGGATGAGAAGGATGAACATGGCCGAGCTTACTATGAATTCCGAGAGGAGGCTTACCACAGCCGGTAAGGGAAACAGCCTCTTTCGTTGACAGGAGTGTCTGCTCCGATTTTGGTATACCTGATGTTGATTGGAGAGTCTGGAAAAGGGGGTGGATGAAAAATGGAAGAGGTTTTTATAGGCCTGAGTTGTAGATGGAATCTACTCTGTAAGCTCTGTTGCCCTTTTCCCATTTGTTCAAAGAAGCTGTTGGAACTTCACATTCACTGCTAGTTTAAAATCAGATATAATGTCCTGTGGACTCCCCTCAAAGAGAGGCTTTGGTTATATTGTATCTGCTTTTCTTTCCCATGTGTAGCTCAAAGTCTCCACCACCCCCTGAAGAAGAGGCAAAAGATGAGGAGGAGGATCAAACTCTTGTGAACCTGGACACGTGTATGTACAAGGCAGACAGGTTGGGGTTTCTTGTCAATCAAAAGTGATTCTGGAGATTACAACTTGAAGGCCTGCAGTTTTTAAGATACTTAACACAGGGAAGACTTTGTATCCATGCTTAGTAGCTGGGTACATTTGTCTTCTGTTGGTGGCTTTTAAGCGTTGGGCATTGGAGTCAACAGATTGCCTTTTTTTTTTTTTAAAACAGATACCTCGGATCTTCATTTTCAAGTGAGCAAAGACCGTTATGGAGGCCAGCCACTTTTCTCAGAGAAATTCCCCACTCTTTGGTCTGGGGCAAGGAGTACTTACGGAGTGACAAAGGGCAAAGTCTGCTTTGAGGCCAAGGTAGTATAGACGGCTTGTGAAGACCCTTCATTTATTAGATGATTCAATACCACTGTGTGTTGGACTTCTATCCATGCGTGATTGATTAGCACAGGGAAAGGTGCCTTACTTTCACCATAATCTTACCTACGGTCACCAAGAAATTAACCTCTGTGACTTTGGTTTTAAGTTCATCGACAGGTGGTATTCTGATAATGAGTTGTGGTCATTGTAGCTTTCATTTTGTATAAAATCTTGTCTTTCTCAGACTTTGATCCTGAATTGGTCAGTATCTGAGTTTCTTTTCTGACTTGGCCAGGTAACCCAGAATCTCCCGATGAAAGAAGGCTGCACAGAGGTGTCTCTCCTTCGAGTTGGGTGGTCTGTTGATTTTTCCCATCCACAGCTTGGTAAAAAAAAATTTAACTTTGTCATTGGTGTTTATCACAATATTAATGCATGGGAATTTTGGGTGTATGTAACTAATTTGTTAACTGTCCTAGGTGAGGATGAATTCTCTTATGGTTTTGATGGACGAGGACTCAAAGCAGAGAATGGGCAGTTTGAGGAGTTTGGCCAGACTTTTGGGGAAAATGATGTCATTGGCTGCTATGCTGTAAGTGCTCCTGAAAATTGTGAATTCATCATAAAGTGTGGATAGAT